ACAAAGTAACTCTTTTAAAAATAATTCATCTTTAATATTTATTTTTCAAAGTAATTTCAATAAATGTCTATTAAAATTTGAAATAGACAATATCACTCAATATTTGAAGTAGGAGCTGACTGGTCATGTGGACTATATTGAAAACTATATATTACGCCTCTGGAAATTGAGTCAATATTGATTTGTTTATCACTCTCCATTTTCAAAGAGACCCTTCCCACCTATCACTTAGTCAAAAAAAGTATATTATGGCCGGCATAATGAACCGGGTATGACTATGAGTGGACCCTCCAATCTTTTATTTCTTTGTCAATATTTTAAACATATAATAAGCTCCTTTGGAAATAACTGTCATTAGCATGGAGTAATTTCAAAACACAATGAAATAAACAACTGAACAGTAAGTTTTTTTTAAACAACTGAACAGTAAGTACAAGAACATCTTAAAATATGTCGATTGATATACATAGTATTTTAGTGTACAAGTTCAAAGGGTCTTTTTATAGGCATATATATAATTATGGCAGTTTTTTTAATAATGGCAGTTTTTTTAATTATGGCAGTTTTATACTTTTTTTACAATTATATATTTTTTTAATTTTACTTCTTACATTTCTACCAATAAATTTAAAAAAAATAAATTTAAATATGCGCTATTCCAAGAGTCTCTATAAGACATAACTCTTAAAGTGCTATTGTAGATACAGGACACCTAACTTTGTAGAGAAGATTTAAGAAATCAGTCATGAACTTTTGGAAGCCTTTTTCCAAAGTTCACCAAAATAAAAAGTCAGAAGAAATATCATCTTTACCTTTTTGGTACCAATTTCATCATAACAACAAATAAAAATATCTTTTCTAGCAAACAAAGAATATTGATAGAAAAAAATTTTTAAAAATTGTGTAGGAAACATCGCAATACCGAAGCTAATTGAAACGACTCGGTGTAGGTAAGGCACTTTTAAAATATTATAGCGTCTGTATGCTATTTTGTTGACTACGACATATTTCCGTTAAATAGTCTTGTCTGTGAATTATGAAAAGACGAAAAAAATTGAAATAATAAATTTTGCGGTATCATAAAATATAAATGTTTGTAGCGAAAAAACCAAGACCGTGGAATCTTTTTTTTTTAAAAAAAGCATCTTAAAATCACAATCGCTCGTTCAAATTTAAATAAGATTTTATATTAATACGTTTCTTAGGTGAAATGAACATCATAGTTTAACAATATGATCTGTTCTGATCGTTTATTGGCAACTTTCCATAATTATAAGCTCTTTCTTGGTCGGAATTCCAGTATTTTTTGTGAAAATTGATAGAAATATTGTGTTTTGACAACTATATATAGTTAATATACGTCCGAACCGATTAGAACTAGGATCATTAGTAAATTAAGGAACTTTTTTAAAAGATTTTAGCTAAATTCATGTTAATGCCGATGAGCGGAATTGATCTAAAGACTCCAAAATAGTGTTCTTTAGATACATTATTACGGGTTGTAAAAAGATTTTGAAAATTATATAAAAAAAGAAAAGTTTCTTTAAGTATTATAAAAACCTTAAGCAAAAAATTATAACATTTAAAGATCTTGTTTGGGCATAATATGCTGACAAAACCATGCTAATTCCAAATAAAAGTATTCAAATATTTTGTAAATCGCCTTAACTACACCGAGGAGTTCTTATCTCACTAAAATGCAACTCATTCTTTATGTTGGTGGAGCCGAGATTTGATCTTCAATGCTCACTGCATCACTTCAATTCATCGCATCACTTCAATGCACTGCATCACTTCAATGCACTCTTCAATGCTCACTGCATCACTTCATTGCATCGACTTCAAAAAATGGAAAAATTTAATTTTAACTACTTGTTTAAAAATATTCTAATACAAGATGAAATTAGCTACAAAATAAATCTAGTTGAAAAAATAGAAAGCTTTATAAAAAGAATACGCTGGAAAACATATTTTCGCATGAACAAAACCAAAACAAGTACACGAGAAAATTTTGGTTTAAAAACAAAAAAAACACCTCCACAATGCAAAGAATTAGAAAACTTTGAGACAGAATTATTTAACTTAGTAAAATCAAAAAAGTTTAAAAAATCCCAAAGCCAATTTCAAAAAAAATTAAAGGACGATGTTTTAAAAATTAAATCTAACCCAAACATCCTAATATTTGCAGACAAAACCAACAACATTTACCAATTACCCCCCGAAGATTACCCCAAATTATTGAAAGAAAACATCATCAAAACATACAAAAAGCCCTTAAAAAACTAGAAAATTCAATAAACCTTGAGGCAAAAAGCATAGCAACTAAACTAAATATAAACAAACAAATCAATATAATTGCCAAATCAGAAGCATTCATTACATTAAAAGACCACAAAAACAACTTCGAAAATCAAAAACCTTGCCGCTTATTAAATCCAGCAAAAGATGAACTCGGCGTTGCCAGCAAAACATACCTAGATAATATTAACAAGGACTTAAAAAATAAATTAAAACTAAACCAATGGAAAAGCACCTCAGAAGTAATCAAATGGTTTACAAACATAAGCAACAAGCAACACTGTGTATTTATAGAACTCGACATCAATGAATTTTACCCATCCATCACAAAAGACATACTAAATAACGCTTTAATATTTGCAAAACAGCACACTGAAATCAGCAGTGAAAAAATTCATAATTTTTTCACTGCTGATTTCAGTTGTCATAAATCATAGCAGAAAATCGCTATAATTTTTAAAACTGAAACATGGATAAAAAAGGCGTATAACGATTGTTTTGACGTCACAGTGGGTTATTTTTATGGAGCCGAAGTATGTGAACTGGTGGGTTTATACATTCTAAACTCTTTATCCAAAACCATTACTAAAAATGATATAGGTTTTTACCGAGACGACGGATTGATGGTGATGCAAAAAAAAACTACCGCACAGTTAGATAAAGTCAGAAAAAGTATAATTGAGATATTTAAAAAGATCGGATTTCAAATTGAGATTCAAACCAATCTAAACAGTGTTAATTTTCTTAATGTAACTTTTAATCTTTGAATAAACTCCTACCAATCTTTTAAAAAACAAATTGACTAACTGCTCTACATCCACACGGAATCCAACCACCCGCCCCATGTTCTTAAGCAGATCCCTCTCTCCATTAATGATCGACTATCGCAAAATTCTTTCAATGAAAAAATATTTAACGCATCAAAATCAGAATACGAAGAAGCACTTAAGCAAAACGGTTTTAAAATCTTTATCTTAAAGTACAACCCAAAAAATTAGACACCTCCCAAAAGAAAAAGGAATATAATTTGGTTTAACCCACCCTACAATAAAAGCGTCTGCACCAATGTTGGCCAAATCTTTTTGCAATAAATAGATAAACATTTCCCACATTCAAACCCTTTACATAATCTATTCAATCAAAACACTACAAAAATTAGCTACAGCTGCTCAAACAACATTTCAAAAATCATAAAAAGCCACAACAAAAAAATAAATTTAGTTAACACCATTGAAAATCTCCCTTGCAATCGCAAACAAAAAGAAATCTGCCCGCTCAATAAAAATTGCAGAGCGACAAACATCATTTACAAATGTGTAACATCTTCCCCAAACACACCCAGCAAAGCATATATATATATATATATATATATATATATATATATATATATATATATATATATATATATATATATATATATATATATATATATATACATATATATATATATATATATATATATATATATATATATATATATATATATATATATATATATATATATATATTTATATATATATATATATATATATATATATATATATATATATATATATATATATATATATATATGTATATATATATATATGTATATATATATATATATATATATATATATATATATATATATATATATATATATATATATATATATATATATATATACAATTGACATTCATTTATAATTTCATTTCAAATACATCACCCAGGACCTAAAAATACTGTTTTTTTAGGTCCTGTGTGATGTATTTGAAATGAAATTATAAATGAATGAATATTGCGTTAAAGTTTTGATAAATTGTTTGTATTTATCTCTGCAATGTAATATAAAACACAATTCCGAAATAGTAACTGAGTAAGATAGTATAATACAATCATATATTTGATAAAGTAAACTTTAAACTAATTTTTTCAGCACTTCTACACTTTGTTTTATTGCATATTTAAACTGCTTATTCGATACAAATGTTACTTCTTTGTGCTTGAATTGCAGCATTAATTCTATTTCAATGTTTCTGTTTTTGTTTGTGTTTTTTGTTTTGTTTTTTGTTTGTGTTTTTTGTGTTTATTTAAACCGTTGTCTAGTTTTTAATAATTATCTTTTTTATAAAAACGGTAGCTGAACCAAACATCAAAGCAAATTCCACAAATCAATTCACAAATTTCAGTAAACAATTCACGTCGATCTGGAAGTAGCAGTCGATCTGGAAGTAAAGCATATCTTGCTCAGAGTTCCACTTTGCATTTCTAATATTAAAAATGCTTTAAAAGTTATGAAAGGAAACAACCCATGTTCTTGATAATATCTGTAAGCATTTCCTAATTTATACAAAAACTGAATATAGTCACACCATTTGATATTTTTAAATTTTGTTTTTTTAAATAGTTTTGTCAAAAGTCATTTCTTAGGTTTGCATAGCTGTCACACAAAATCATATAATATATTGAGATATGTTGTCTTTCCACCAAGAATTTGGTCAACTGAATGCTTTAGGACTAAATCCGATAAAAGATGTTGATATCCTATAACTGAGGTATAGGAATTCCTTTTTCTGTAAATTTTCGTTAGATCAGTATAACAACTCAGTTATTAACTCCAGTATTGACACTTGTGGTATCATAGATTAAAACTTTAATGCTTTTTCACAAATGGTATTGGTCTAAAACCTCAGTCTTTCCTTTTTAGATAGTTCAACAGTATATTAACAGTCATTAGTATCATCATCATAAGTTTGTGGATATTCTAATATATTTGAAGTAATTTCATATAAATTTCTATTTAAAGAAGGAAGATTACATGCATTATTGCTCGAGCTATTTCCTTTGTCAACTTTATATGGATACACTTTAACTTGTATTGTTGTTGCATAGCCAACTTCTCCTTGTGATTTCACAAAATCTGCACTTCATAAAATCTTTTATCTTTAGTTGCCAACCAGACGTTATCTGTTTTTGTAATATCAAACACATTTGCTAATTTAACTTCTGCACATTCCTGATTTCAAAACATTATCATATTTTTTTAATTAATACATCAATCTTCCTCATTATTGATTTTTTGATATGAGTGAGTCAAATTTTCCCACAGTTTCTTCAATTCATCAGCTATCACTTTGATTTTGATATTTCTTAATTTTTCATCTTTTTCATAAATTGATACCTTCTGATAATTGTCATTACTTTGGGTATTCTAAATAAGCCATCAGCTAGATCATTGATTGTTGGTAACAGTTTACTTTGTGTGACACTCTTTTGGTATATTGTCAAATTTTTTCTCCAGGTTTCTAACATCTTCTTGGTTCTTCATATATGGCATTTCCTGAAAAAGCAAAGTAAACATACTAAACACAATCCCAGACATGCAACAACGGAAAGCGGAAACAGATAGAAAACAGAAACACCATAGAGCAAGTTATGGCGCACTACAAATTTTTTTTGAATTGCATTCTCTTTGCTATTAACGCGGATGACTATTCTTATGGTTTGACTTTGTAGTCATTTAAAACCATAAAACCTTACATCTTTTTAATTTTTAATGTCATATCCATTTTATTAATAACTTTTTTTTTATATATCTTATTTTTTAATGTTTTTTTTATTCTTTGTTGACGTTATTTTAACTGACGAGGTAAAACAAATTCCACATAACTTTTTGCTTTTGTTTATAATCGAATATGAAGTAAAATATTTAATTGCAGTTTTATTTGTCTTGTAGACACATCTACATCTTCATGATGGAATTCTCCAAATTATAATTACTTATGAAAGATCTTCTTGATTATTGATACCCAGCAAAGAGGTGTGTAAAGAGTCTTCAAACACAAACGTTGAAGCTCAAAAATCACTTTATGTCTATTGCATAGTAAAATTCAACAGATTTAAAGCCTTTTAAAACCAATTTAATGTCTATAATTTTCGTCTTCAACCTTTGCACAAATGATCTGTCCAAAGATTAGAGACGGATATTTTCATTAATATCGCTAGATCTCCCTAATATCATATCGCTAGATCTCCCTAATTTAAAATTTTTTATTTAACTCTTTAAAACGATGTCGTTGGTTTGGAGGTATTATATTGTTTCTTGTTTCTACTTATTCGAATGATATAAACAAGAGTAAAAATAAAAATTAACTTCAATAAAAGTTATCTTGACAAAACAAACATTTATTAAATTAAATGAAATCATTATTATTATCAAAATAGAACCAGTGGGAAATATATATTTTTTCGTTTTATCAATAAAATACGTAACCATTATAAATACAACAAAAAACTAGATGTTACACATGAAATTACTCCATACAGGGAACAATTTTGTAAGAATTACTAGTGAAAATGTGAAATAACTTTGTTGCAACCACGGTGCAGTAATTTGAGTTCTTTCTCAGAATCAAGAAATCTGAGATTTGATGTTGACTGTGACCAGATAAGCGACATTGGTAAGAACGAATGTGTAAACTTTATTGTTAAATTATTCTTTTACGGTAGTTTGTAATAAGACGCTTTCTCCTTCTTGGAGTACCTTGAAAAAGAAAGTCATCGTAGACGATCGTGGATTGTTGTAAGGACTTTTCAAGTAAAGGAGAAACTTTAAATTATTAGCTTATTCTTCTGTAGACATAAGACGACGTTTTTTTGTATTTTTATTAATGGGTATGATTTTAAATAAAGTGGATCTTTGCTGCAATGACTTACTATTTTATGATTATTACTTAAATAAGCATCAGTCGTTTTTTAACACATGGCATATCTTTCTGTTTTTTAATATATTTATTGACATCTGATTCACAAGTAAATGGGCTGCCTTGTAATTTCAAACTAGCTAATATGGAATATCTTTTGGACGTTTAATGTAAAGCTTGCAGTTCAGTTTTTGCTAACCCCATCTGTCTCAGTTGTTTCTGTCACTGGTTCCAACATCCCAGCTAACACAAAACGTTCAGGTACATTCGACGAACGTTGCAAACGTTTGAGCACGTTCTATGAGCGTTCATAGAACTTTCTTGAAAGTTTGCAACGTTAAATGAACGTTTTGTGTTTGTTGGAATTTGACGACTGACTGTTTAAATTTGGCGACTGACTTGTCTAAAGGGTCTACATTTGCCAACTGACATGTTAAAAGGGTCAAATTTGCCGACTAAATGCACGAAATATTCATGGATAATTTCACACCAAGAATATAAAAATTTAAACCAAGAAAATCGGTTGGTCCGGATAGAGTTCATTCTTTCGTATTTAAAGAACATGTAAATGCCTTTTCTAATTCATTAACTTTATTATTTAACAGATTAATTTATGAAAGTGTAGTACCTATTTAATGGAAGGCAGCAAATGTAACGCGATTGTTTAAAAGTGGCAGTAGAAATAAAGTTTCGAATTATAATCCAGTTCCTTAGACTTCAATTATTTGTAAAAGTTTAGAACGTTTAGTATCTAACCAACTCTTATATTATTTGAAGGCTAACAACTTATTATTTTCTAATCAGCTTAACGAAATCTAATTAGTTTTACGAAAGGTAAAATTTGTATAACTAATTTCCTAGAGTACATAGATAAAGTAGCGACAGGTATTGCTAATGTTAAATTTTTTTATTAATAAATACTGTTTTCAAAAAAGCTTTTGACAAAGTTTCACATAGAAGATTAGCACTAAAACATGAAGCATATGGCATTACATCTACGTCATTGAAGTGGATAAATTCTTTTTTAACTGATAGGAAGCAAAAACTTGTACTAGGAGAAAGTGTATCATCATGGGTGGGCATAGTAAGCGGTGTACCACAAGGATGTGTGTTTAGTCCAATTTTATTTTTAATATAGATTGATAACTTTCCAAGTCAACTTACAAAACAATTGTTGTGGTATGCAAATGATTGTAAAGTAATAGCTGAAGTTAACAATGAAACGGATGCGTATGCTTTACAAAATGACATATTAGAAAAATGGATAATAAACTGGAAAATGCAGTTCAATCTTGAAAAATGTTAAATCATGCATATTGGTAATAAAAATAAAAATTATAAAAATTTCATGACTCACAGTAATACAAAACAAGAATTAATTACTACTATATCGGAAAAGGAGCTTCGCGTATTAATTTCAAATGACTTAAAATGAGAACCACAAATTAAAGCTTCATCATCTATTGAAAACTATAAACTTGGTATAATATGCAAATTATTTAAGTATAAAGTATAAAGATAGGGAACTAATAAAATTACTGTGTTGTAGTTACTCCATACCCTTATTTCAAATTCTAAATGCACGCCCGCATTTAAAATTTGAAATAAGGGTATGGAGTCCTTATCTTGAGAAAGATATAAATATATTAGAAAATATTTAAAAACGAGTAACAAAATCTTTACCTGAGCTACGTCATCTATCATACAAAAAAATACTTGAAAAAATGAAATTGACATCTTTAAAACAACGAAGAATACATAAAGACCTCATACAAATGTTATTATTATGTAGAGGAAATAACTTGGAAAGTACCTCTCAACATTTATCTCTATAATATTTTTCAGGTCTGTCGTCAAATATTCGAGGTAAAATTCACCGATAAGAAATATCTAAATCAAATTCTGTAACAAATTACAATTGAATTAGTGGAAGTTAAATACCTCAACTTATTTAAAGCTAAGCTAAACTTAATTGATTATATTTAATTTTCTTATATTACATGTATATGTCAAAAAACAAGTTTGGCCCAAAGTTGTATTTTAAGTCGGCATTGCATGATGTTTTACATTGATTCAACGTTTGACGTTATTATTTTATGTTGGCACATCGTTGTATTTTTCGTTAGCAAAACGTTGTATTTATAAGTTAATTTAACGTTATATTTTACGTTTGCACAACATTATAATTAACTTTTACTAGAATTAAATCTGTTTTATCTTTTATTACTTATATATTTATTTATATACATATTTGATATTCATATAATTTTATATATGTACTTATACACATATATTTCATCCATTTATATGAGTCGAATTTGCTGGTATTGTGGATTATCCTCCTCCGGCTAGTTGCCCGCAAAGATGAATTCAGCTCACTAAAGAGCACCATAACCCGCTTCGCAGACCAAGAATAAGTGATTTTAGAAGAATGAAGGATAGTAGAAAGAAAGTTAGAAGTCGAGTTAGAAAGTTGGCGTAGAGACAGCGGACATTATTGCACTAGGTGTTAAAATGTGCAATTAATACTATTAATTACTTTACCTAGTTAATGTATTAGTATAAGCGTAGTCAACGTTGCAGATGACGTTTGTTTATTATTATGAAAAGATAGCTGATTAAATAAATCTGATTAGAGGCGTTTCTCATGTTTGTTTTGCTTGTTGCTTGATATTTTGTTATACAAGAAAGAGGCTGTTCATAAAGGACGTCACTATTTTTTTGAAAATTATTGACCCCCTCCCCCACCCCACCACCTTTGTCCTTTTTCCTATACCCCTTAAATAGGATGTCATAAATTTGGGACAACCCCCTCTCTCTCATTATTTTTTAAAACTAAATTCGTTCTTAATTTAAGCATTTTTGTTAAAATTTGCCACAGAAATTACATTTTTCTGTGTTTGCATATAATTCAGTAGCTAACCGGATATTTCCACGTTTGTTTCAGTTGTTTGTTTTTGTAGGCCTTCCTAAAAAAAAAGAATTTATGTTATATTACTCATATTCTGTATGTATTAAATTTAGTCAAAGTGTGTCATAAAAACTTGCCTCACTCTTCATCCATCCAAGGATTTTTTAAATAATTGTCAATTGATTGGAATAGGGCAGTCCTATTCGACTTAAATAGTCGCATCATTTAGAATATTAAGGGCCTCTGTTTTAATTTCGTCCTCATCAAACCATTCAACAAAGGCGGCGTTTTCTTCTACCACAATTAGGGCCATTAACTCTCTTTTGCATTTAGCGACAACACAAACAGGTTCAATTTGCAAACGGGAATTTTGTACTCTAACCCAAATAGCCATTTGGTTAATAAAATTGGAAGGAGTAATGCTGACATGCTTTTTTAACATGACTTGCGAGGCAAAGTACAAGTTAACATGCTTACAGATTTTACGAGATAAACTTGACTGCACAAAGGGACAAAACAGGTTGTAAGGAGGAATTTTGAATGATTTCAATCATCGAGGAATAGCGCTTTGATTAATGGAGGCGATAAGAAAAAATACAGAAGGAAAATGATTCTTGCCGATGATGTCTGAAGTGGCTACAGTTTTCAAGCCATCATCTGACTGGCCGATTAGAATAGATAGAGGCAGAAATTAACCGGAAACAACAAAAAAATAAGAGCTCCTTTTCAAAGAACAACATCCGGGATCTTCATATTTCACAACTTGCGTGAAATATTGGCTGGTGCACACATGAGAGGTTAACAATTCCTGATCTTCAACAAGTGATGACAAGCATCAAGCTCCGTCTTGCCGCCTAGATCGAGATACTCAACCAATTCTGGATCAATCATCAGACCTGAAAATATTGAAGCACACATCTTTCCAGCAAAATTCTGTTCCTCCAAAAAAAGATTTACTGTCCTACCTTAAATATAAGTCGCATTACAGATAATTACTTCATAAATTTATTAAGTTTTGCTATATACGTTTAAGGTAGGAGTTGATATTAAAAATGAATTTGACTTCCTTGATAGTCTAGATGAGTTCCATAATGATCATGAGAGAGAATCAATCCCGCTAAATCAACTACAAATATATATTTGTATATCTGCCTTTTCTCGATGCAAACACGATGTTAATCTACAGTATATAACCTAACGTTATCCCAATGTATATGGATCAACGTTGATCCAATGTATATAATCCAACATTAATCCATACACATTTTATCAATGTTGGCTTGTAAATATTGGATTAACGTTAATCCATATACATTGGATCAATGGGGAGTTATATACATTTGGTCAACGTTGATCCCTATACATTGGATCAATGTTTCAACTTTTGCGATGTTTTTGCACAAGTTGGACCAATGTAATTTCGCTAACTATTTTTAATCACGCCGTTATTAAGGTTTTTATTAATATAATTATAATACAACTATCATCAAACCAACGTTGTATTAGAGAAAACAGCAACGGTTACTTCCCTCTGAAAAAAACTTTTACAAAATTTTACCCTATATATATTGTATATATATATATAAACCCTATATATATTGTTATAGCTTTCCTTATAATATCGTACCTCTTTTTCCATTTCTGTAAATCAGAAGCTAAAAAGCATACCCTGAAATTTTTTTTTTGCGTTTTTTCTCAAATATGTTTTTTTCTGACATTTGCTCTTACTTCATATATATATATATATATATATATATATATATATATATATATATATATATATATATATATATATATATATATATATATATATATATATATATATATATATATATATATATATATATGTGTTATTTTAAAACATCAAAAATACGATTTCTCTCAACACTTATATATCCTAGTAATCCCATCCCGCCTCGTATGTATGGTGTAATCAAAGCTCACAAACCTGAAAAATTTTATCCTAAACTACGGAATATCTGAGTTCTTAGTTAAGATAATACAACCAGTTTTGAATGAAAACTTGACAAGATTAAAAAATTCCTTTGACTTTATTAAAAAAGCTGAATCTTGGAAAATTGACAATGATGAAGTTCAGGTATCTTTTGATGTCGTAAATCTGTATCCGTCGGTTCCTTTAAAAGAAGCCACCCTTGTACTTATAGAAAAATTAAATAATAATACAACATATAAAAAATTAACAAGACTATGTATACCTGAAATAAAACAACTTATAGAACTTTGTTTATTTCAATGTTATTTTCATTGGAACAATGAAATTCATATAATGGAAAACTCGGATCCAATTGGAATTTCGTTCATGGTCGTTCTTCCAGAATCATTTCTACAATTCCATGAAAACAATGCAATTAAAATTGCACTAAATTTCAACCCTGCACTTAACCTCAAATCGTTCTTAAGATAAGTCGATGATAGTCACGCAAGGTTTCCAGATCTCAACCAAGCAAAACATTTCCAATACATTTTAAATCAACAACATCCTTCCATCCAGTATACAATTGAAGTTGAAAACGAGTTAGGAACACTAAATTATCTGGATATACAAATTATGAATAAAAAAACAGGAAAGTATGAATACAAAGTGTATCGGAAAGATGCTATCACTAACATTCAAATTAAGCCACACTCAAACCATGATCCAAATATCTTGAACTCTATTTTTAAAGGATTTCTCCACCGAGCTTACTCAATCTGTAGTAAGTCTTACTTGCAAAATGAAATAAATTTTCTAATCGACGTGTTTATTGAAAATGGTTACGATAAAACTCAAACTATGAATATTGCGCATCAGTTTCAACACAAAAGACAAAATAAAATTACAATTCCATCTGAAATCAATAATTATCCTGTAGTTTCCTTACCATGGGTACCCGGTCTCTCGCCAAAACTTAGGAAAATATTCCGAAAAGCTGGTTACAGAGCGGTATTCAAATCAAACCCAAACTTAAGATCCCTGTTAACATCAAAGAATAAATCAAAATTACCTAATAACAGTCAACCAGGAACATATATAATCAAATGCAACTGTTCATAAGTGTATGTAGGCCAAACAAAAATGAAAGTAAACACAAGAATGCATCAACACCAAAAAAGCATTGATGAAAATAAGCAGCATCAATTTGCATTAGCTCTGCATAAAACATTTTGCAAAAAAAAAATTATTTGGAAACAAACAAACAAAAACATTGCAAGTAGAAAATAAAAAATTTGAAAGAAAAGTTAGGGAAGACCTAGAAATACAAAAAAACATGTGTTCTGCAAAAAATGGCGGGATTAATCTCGATGAGGGTCAATACGTAAAAACTAAGTTTTGGACGCCATTTTTTAAATTTCAGCGAAAAAGAAGCCATTCAACCGCTGACGTCAATAGCAACGTTTTAATTTAAATTATAACGGTTTACTAATTACTGTAACATTTAACAAGATGAAGAAGCTGGTATCTAAAATCCAGCGAAAATTTCTATAATAATAAAAAAAAAATTATAAGTGTTTAGAGAAATCGTATTTTTGATGTTTTAAAATAATATATAAATATACTCTCACACAAGATGTTATTCTTTAAATCATATATATATATATATATATATATATATATATATATATATATATATATATATATATATATATATATATATATATATATATATATATATATATATATATATATATATATATATATATACAGAGCCGTGGCTAGGCACCCCCAAACCCCCCAATTGGGGGGAAGGCAGTATTTTTTAGGGCCCTTTTTAAAAGTTAAAATATCTTTTAACTTTAAAAGGGTTTCAGTGAAGTAAAAAGATTTGCATTTTAACCATTATATTACAGGGGCGGATGCAGGATTTTTTGTGGGTGTTGCCTGTTTTTTTTCAAGTTGCCAAAATAGTTTGCAATATTTTTTTTGTAAGCCCCTTCCCTGGGCTAGCGAAGGAGGGGGGGGGGGTGTTCAAAGCGGCAACAGTTTATTATTACTTTATTATTACTTTATCATTACTTACCGGGCATTGTTCTCAATTACCTATATAAAACAAAACTAACAACAATATTGCCTTGGCTATTCTGTTCATAAATTAGACATTTTTTACTTGTCTAACCTATTTAACGAAGTGCACCAACGAGAAGGTAAGCCATAGGACTTTGCACTCCATCTGTAAACTGTCATGTGGCCTAAGGTTAGCCATCCATTTCTGGATTCTTTCCTTTTCTTGATAGGCAGTTAGTATAAAGTAATTGTATTGTTGCCTTAGGTTAGCCCTCCATTTCTGGATTCTTTCCTTTTCTTGATAGGCAGTTAGTGTAAAGTAATTGTACTGTTGCCTTAGGTTAGTCCTCCATTTCTTGATTCTTACCTCTTCTTGATAGGCAGTTAATGTAAATTATTAATATTGTTGCCTTAGGTTAGCCCTCCATTTCTGGATTCTTTCCTTTTCTTGATAGGCAGTTAGTGTAAAGTAATTGTACTGTTGCCTTAGGTTAGTCCTCCATTTCTTGATTCTTACCTCTTCTTGATAGGCAGTTAATGTAAATTATTAATATTGTTGCCTTAGGTTAGCCCTCCATTTCTGGATTCTTTCCTTTTCTTGATAGGCAGTTAGGCCGATTTTATTTTTTATTTTTTATTTTGTTTTTTCTAATTTTCATGAAATATAAAATAAATATAAAATATAAATTAAATATAAAACTAACTAAAATATAAGAATATAGTCAATAAATAAAAAAGAAATTAATAAATTAATATTAGGTAAAAACCAACTCTAAGCGTCGTTCCCCTAAAACAGAAAAAATATTCAAAACTCTTTCTACATCATATCAAATCTATCTTCTAATTCATTAATTAAATGATCTAGAAGAGGAGATGTGATGGAATATTTGAAATAATCTGAAACTGTGTCAGAGGGATAATTATCTCTATAAATTTGTCTGCCACAGAGCCTTGGTTTAACTTCTGAAACATCAAGAGTCTTAGATAGATCAAGAGCAATTAAGTACTATTCGTTACGATAGACATCATAATTTTTTTTTAATCTAAAATCTGAGTTTTTAAACAATTTATTTCATTACACTGTTGTGATATATCAAACGCTTTAGTTTGAAGAACAACAGTGATGGCATAGAAATAGTCCATTATTTGTTTGGTTAAAACTAAACTTACAATAAAAGAAAAATTAGTCATAAGATTTAAAAAACATGAAGCTTTTGAAGAAGTATCAATATTATAACTCTTACTTTCATTGTATGCCATTTCTTCCATTGAATGAAAAACGGATATGTAGTTATCAAAAAAAACATCCAGACCTTTAAGTTTCTGAACCCATCTAGTTTGACATGTATTGATTAATTTTGCTTGACCAGGAAAAATGAATTTATTAAGACAGCTGACACGTTTAGGTGATAAGTGAAAAAAATATGATATATCTTTGATTTGATCAAGAACATTTCTAACACTCTGAACATTGCATGACTTACTTACAACTAAATTAAGTTTATGGCATGCACAGTGAACAAAAATAGCCTTTGAATTGATAAATTTAATTCTTGATGAAATACCTTTTAATTTACCAGACATTGCCCCAGCACCATCATATCCTTGACCTCTACATTTTTGGATATCAAGACCAAGATCATCAATTGCAGAAACTATGTTTTGCCCAAGACTAAGACCAGTTGTACCAGATTTACATTCAATGAACCATAGAAAATCTTCACAAATAACATTATCACAGTCAATGTATCTTATAACTAGAGATAGCTGTTCAACATTAGAACAATCAGAGGCTCCATCACACAAGATAGAAAAATAACCTGACTTTTTAATTTTATTAATTAGAACTTCTTCGATTGTTTTTCCACAGCATTCAATAAGTTCGTTTTGTGTGGTTTTAGATATATAGGTTGCATTTTTAGGAGCAGAACGAATATGGTGCTCAAGAACTTTATCACCTGCTTTAATGCAAAAATTTAAAAGCTCTACAAAGTTACCTATACCAATGTTGTTTTTACATGTTTCTCCGATCTCTGGATGATACTTACTGTCATCACGATGACCTCGAAAAGCAATATCATTGCGGCCAAGAAAAATAATTGTCTTTATAATTGGAATTAATTTATTTCGACTACTTATAATAAGTTTTTTTTATGATTATCGATGTCAACTTCAGACAGATTTTTTTTTGAATTAGATCTAGATTGCAGCATGTTAAGACAATGCATTGACATTTGATGAAGTTGACAATTATTATTGTGATCCATGTAAGCACGAATTGCATTACCCCATATTTTAAAAGGTTTTCGAACGAAGTTGGTTATTGAGGTATTGTTTGGAATTCTGCTTCTCAACAGTGTACATGGAAGGCAGTATGCTCCATCTTCAATCTGTGAGTAAGCTAACCAGGAATATTTAAGTAGCCATTTAGGTAAAAATGATCGTTTCTTTTTTTCACCAGAAATAGGAAAAATAAAAGACGAGTAAGGAATAAATATTTTATTAACTAGATCTAATAACATTGAATCATCTTTGCCAGCAGATAGTTGTCTACCGCGCTCATAGTAAGTAGAAACATCATAAAAAGGAAGGCTTAAAGACTGATCCAATGAACAAGGATGAACAATTAAGTAAGATTGGATTAGGAGTTATATCAATATTTACATCTATAATTTTAGTTTCATTACTTATGCCAAACTTTATGTGAGATTGAACTAATGGTTTTTTTTTGAAAATAGATTTTTAGGAGGTTGACAAGATAAATTAAGAACCTTAGTGTTAACAGAAGAATGCGATAAAACACTTGGCAAGACTGAATACAATTCTTTTTTTAAATCACTTTTGACAAATTTCTTTGAACATAAAACTTCTCTTTTCACAATAGGGACAAAATGATTTGGTGATCACATATCTTTATCCTTGGAAATAGAGCGACAATCAGTGTTACACCATAAAATACTCAGAATTTCTTTATTTGTTTTATGATCACCACGTGGGTATATACATACATTAAATAACTTTTTATATTTTCAAGTCCAAATTCAGGATAAATAGACCGAATTTGTTTATTTAACACTGTAGATAATGCAATTAAACAAAGAAAAGAAGCAAATTTATTGTTTCTGCAATTGTTATAGGCTTCTTTATTTATAAGTTCAGCAATAATTATATCATTTAATTCTGTAAAAGAATCAGAAGACTCAAATTAAACATATGTCATAAAAACACTAGAAAGAAAGGAAAAACTTTTAGATTCCACTTGGTTTAAGATTATTGGGTGTCTCGAATAAAAGGTTGCTTTCTTACGCAACTCAACAGAAGTTAATAGTCGAAGAATTTCATGTGTTTTATCTGATGAATTTATTAATAAAGCAGCAGAGTTGTAAAGGCAGTTACCATTTTCCATTGACCTGTTAAGTCATAACATATATATATACTAAATATAACTAAAAAAACATATTTAACTAAACATTATTTGTCAAGAATTATTGTTTTATAAACAAAATAAAACATAAAAAAAAACGCGTTTAAACTCATACTTTAAAACAATATAGTCTTCATTTTCTTATAGTCTTATAAGCTTCCATTTCAGAATTTCTTATAGAAAGAAGATCTATGTTTATAACAGGAAAGTTTGAATTTAATTCTTTAAGATTATTACGAAGTTTAATATGTAAGTTGTAATATTAGGCAAATGCTTGGTTTTAATGGCATTGGATAGCAACAAACCCATAATTGTAAACAAAAATAAAGTGTATTTTTATTGTTATATTTATATGTCATTTATTTTTGTGTATGGATTTAATGCATTTTTTACTTTTATTAACCTTAGTTTTATGTATAATAAGTGTTTTTCTGTTTATATTTTTTTTATTTGTTTATTATACTTACAATATATTTTTGCTATTATATTATAAAAACTAAAATTGTTATATTTATTGAGTCTTGGTATTCTTTTATCGATAATTGTTTTTATGTCATCGTTATTAGTTACATTTTGTCAGTTTATTACTGTTTGTAACTGTAACTATGTATATATAATTGATTGTTGTATGGAAGATTGTATTGATTGAATTCTTTTAGTTACTGGTTTTTATAATTTTTGTTGACATATTTAATGAACAGCCTTCTATTAAAGATTTATTTGACAATTCCGTTATATATGTATTGTATTTATTATTATCATGTTTTTATTTTATTCATTATTATTGGGTGTTAATTATACTTACTGGTAATATTATTATTGTTATTCTTATTATTATACAATTAATTATTTTTAATATTGTTGTTTTGTAAATTTATTTCTATTTTTATTATAATTATAACTATGTGTCTATAATATGTTTTATATTATCAAAGAGGTTTTTACTTTATATTAGTTTTTATAACTATTTGTAACAACCGTGGAAGTTAGATCTTTTTTCCAGAATATATAATTGATTGATTGATTGATTGATATGCCTAGCAAAAAATATAATTATCTTTCATTCTTAGTTTTTTACAATATTTTGGAATTATTGGAATAAAAAAAGTGAAAAGTGGTGCCACTAAAAGAGAAAAAGCTGCAGCCATGGAGAGAATCACGAAATACTCCAAGCTAACACATTTTTTAAAACCAGCAGTTCCGGCTAGCAGTGTTTTGATATCAACAAATAATTTTGATTGTGATTATTTGGGTACTAGACTAGAGTCAGATGGGTTAATCTATGACTCAAATGCAAAGTCAAATGTAAGTCATGGTTTAATCTGTGAATCAAATGCCACAACAAATCCACTAATATTTCTCAGTGATGATCCTTCTGATTGGCCTGATAATGTTTCTGACGCTCAGAAGTGTGATGTTGTTAAACGAGGTTTAAAAAAGATTGAAATCGACTTTCCGAAAAATTCAGAAAGAAGACGATTTTCCATGAGTTATTATAACCGCAAAATGAAAAAAGGGGAAATCTTTGAAAGATCATGGCTTATATATTCTTTAAATAGTGATAAAGTGTTTTGTTTCTATTGCAAACTTTTTGGGATAACTTCTTCACCATTTCGAAAAGGAATAAACACGTGGGAAGGCTTATCAAAAAAACTTAAAGAACACGAAACATGCAGTGCATATTTAAAATGCTTTGAACATTGGATGACATTACGAAAAGGTAACTGATATTTCATTTAACTTGTTTTGTTACTTTTTTTATTGCTAAAATATTAATTTTATTTCAATTTTGACAATGCAGGCATAGCAAATCAAGCTACCATAGACGAGCAACAACAAAAGTTGCTTCATAAAGAGCGGGTATTTTGGAGATCTGTGTTGGAAAGGATACTGGACATTACGTTATTTCTTTCAGCAAGAAATCTTGCATTCCGTGGTTCAGACACGGCAATTGGTTCAAAGAGCAATGGAAATTTTCTTGGGGTGTTTGAATTAGTGGCTAAGTACGATGCCGTCCTCAACAAACTTCTGTTAAGAATTCAGGACAAAAAAACAAACGTTCACTATTTGAGCAATGACACACAGAACGAGTTGATTAGATGTTTAGCGCAGGAGATTGAATCAGAAAACCTTTCTATGGTAAAAAAAGCAAAATACTATTTGGTTATTTTAGATTGCACGCCAGACGTTTCGCACAAAGAACAAATGAGCATAATTTTAAGATCAGTGACATGTACTTCTAGAGTAGGTATTAACATTTCCGAAAATTTCTTTGGATATCTCACAGTAAATGATACCACTGGTGTTCAAGCCAGGCTTCTAGAAATGAACCCAAAGGCTATATATGTTCAATGTGCAAATCATTCACTGAATCTTGTTATTGTTGATGGTGCACTGTCATCTATCAGTGCAATATCTTTTTTTGGAGTTCTTACAAGATTGTATAACCTCTTTTCATCGTCTCCTCCTCGATGGGAAATTTTAAAATCGTGTGTAGAAATTTCTGTCAAACTACAATCAGATACAAGATGGGAAAGTAAAATAAACTGTGTTAAATCACTTCGCTATTATCTGAAAGAAATTTTAGAGGCACTCGACAGATTGGAAAAACATGCATTTGAAAAGAAAGATGGGGCAACAGCCACAGAAGTACGATCTCTGATTGAATATATTAGGACATGG